TTGCTTCGACTATGGCACTTCACAGTAATTGTACTGTGTCATCCATTATGCAAGGTTGTTTTTTGGCGGTCGGACACAGTTTTTTCCAGTCATTATTTGCGTGACATGGCTGTCAAGGACGTTAACGATGTCCACAGCTTCGGACCATTGGTGGTTGCTCAGCAACTTGCCATTCCCCGAAGAAAGTGACCCTCCTGCATTGTGTTGTCTTCCCACGGACCACCATGTGGGGAATGAGTTGTTTTTCTTCAGAAACAACTAGGTATGCCAGTTAAGGAGTTATCCTTGTATTTCAAGTCCATACTTTCTACTGCATTCCTTCAGCTTCGCCAGCTTTAAAGTTAGTGGTTTCTTTTCATTTAAGACTCGGTCTTATTTGCGAATTACCACTGTACCTGATCGTCACTCGCCGATTCGCTCTCTGTTATAGGCGCATTACCAACGCTTCCCGAGCACGGGATTTACGGATTGAGCTGGCTGCTATTACCTTCCAGCCTGTCGGATAAAAGTGCAGGAAGTAAGTAGTACAGGATTAGTAGGTCACATGCAACCAAAAAAATCAAACATAATTAAAACACAGTTATCACTTATTCATGACATATAATATACATTGCTGGTTATGAAAAAACAAATAAACAAAATTATAAGCGTACAATCGCAAATCAAAAGTGCAATATTTTGTACTTGGGTTTACTTCCCAAGAAACGAAGCAGCCGGGATACCGAACCCAGTCAGAGCGGGTGGGTGTGCACTCAGTGTAACAGCTGGCTCATTTGCAGATGTCCTCACGGCTCATTGTGTGTGTATATATAGAGATGTTGGGTTTTGTAAATACATGTACATGCTCATTTTTTGTGTATAACATTTCGCAATCAACAGACATCATAACATGTCATGTGTAAAAGTATCACACCTGCCTGTCTGTGTAATTACATAATGTGACAGAGACCGAACTCGGGCCATAAATCAATGCGTTTTGTTTATGGTGTATAGCCTGATAGGTGTTAAGTTCAAATTGCATGTGGTCATATAAAAAGCTCACGCCTGTGAAATATCAACAAAACATTAGAAAAATAGCTCACACCAAAGCATCCACCGAGAAATCACCGGACAACCCGCTTCCAAGCTGCGCGAACCTATTTCACTGCGCATGTGCTATGAGCGCAGCCCAGCTGTTGAAACCACTTAAATTCCCCCAAGCGCTTGGGGAAAATTAGTGAATCGTTTGAACTACGATTTCGCGCGGTTTTTTTCATCGCTTTATTTTTCAACTTTATAGGTTGAATTTGCATTTTTGATGATTTGTTTCGGTAAGTCCATACCGAAAGGTATCAGAATCTGCAAAGTTGTGTTTTACGTTGCATGTGACTTTAATTTAGTAAAATCTAAATATTTTTTATATTTGTATACTTATCCTGCACTACTTATGATAAGGGCCCACCCTGCGCTATCAGCTACCTCCCCGCTTATTTGCCATCTGTGGGTTATTTGGCAATAATCTGAGGTGGCTGACGTCACCTTCAGGTGACGCATGCGCAGACGAGTAGCAGCCGAGACCAGGAAGTGATTGCAGTTCTACGTCTTTTAACATCGTCTGGCAAGCCACGCCTTTTCGAGCCGTAAGCAATAAGTGCAGGAAGTAAGTAGCGCAGGATAAGTACACAAATATAGTTTTTTTTATAGATTTTACTAAAATTGCATATTGAAGTTGTTGACGGCCTGTGAAAAGAAAATGCGCACCACGAGGTTTGGATTGTGAAGGCAGGCAACATGTTGAAACATTTCCTCACGCCTCTGGCACGTTTGCATCATATATGTTTACTTTCATCGTTAAAGACTGTATGGATGGTTTGAATAGACCGATCCAGTCTCGGCCGATAAGCCCCGCCCACTTCGTTTTTGACGTTAGGGGGGACAACCACGGACTAATCACAATGGCGTCACCGCCGGCGAAACGTACGTGATTGAGAACGTTGTTGATGAATTTTGCTTGTAGTACGTTGGTATCCGTCGTTTGTGAATGATATTTAAAGACGAAAGTTATACGTACTTTATTTTTAATATATTTTAGTTGACAGATTGTAATTGGCGAGTGAAAATGATTTGCATGCTCGATGAAAAATCGCCAGCTGCTGAGTGAGAATAAGAAGCGTGTTTCCTTTCGAACCAAATAACATGTCTGGCAATTCACGTCCGTCTAAGATGTTAGCAGGGAAAGGGTAACTGAATTATGTTGTTTGGGTTTTTTCAAAAATTCCCATCGTAATATTACAAAAACCGTGAACACAGCCACATGTTCAAGTTGGAGATCGTTTCGGTATCTATAAATAGATTGTCAAAACTGCGCGTGGCGCCTTTATTTATTTATACCTTGTTCAAATTTAGTTAAATCAATAATGTGAAAACATGGGTTTCTACCTTTTAATGAACTAAGCAGAAAAATATGTCCCGCCTACTACTTCGTCCACCTTATTTGTCTATATTTGTAAACAAATAAATCACTGCATATCCTATTTGATCTTATTTGGGAATCTGGAAAAAGGTTATTGGGCTTGTAAACAGTATGTTTCCATGGATGTATCTGGACATACCCAGAAGCAAATATTCAGCAGCTAATCTGCAGCAATTCTCAGTATAATTTCTCACTTCAAAATCTGTACACAATCCTAAAATGACACTGAATATAAGGAAATCCATTTTTAAATCATCCTTTCCAATATATTTTTCTATGTGTACTTTGTTGTGGTATCATAATTTACAAACTTCCACGATACCGGGCTTCATGAACTGCCAGCATTTACGTACAGTTATGTCACACCACAATAACACAAAGAAGATCCATGATATAGTCTTCACCTGTACACTGACCCATCTTCCAGAAATAGGAAACATGTGATGCAAAATCTTTGAACAGAGGATCCACAGCTATCCAAACAATTAACTAGCATTGAAATAGAATGTTACACAAAATACATATATACTGCTTTTTCTTCATAGATATTTAACTGCTAACTACTAATGTAAATAAGGTGTAAAGAATATATCATAAGTTCAAAGCTTTTCGTCAATAAAATTACATATTGTCATTATTGCTTCTTAAACAATGATAATCTTTGTTTTATTAGATCTGAGACCATATCCCTAAGGGACATAACACTAATTTTGATCTATTTCCTTTTCTGAGATACTTACTAGTGTTATCAAAAATATATTTAAGTTGTTTCCAAATTGGTAACAAAATAAAAGTTTAGGAAAACACACATGAAAATGTCCTGAAGCTTTCACCTCCTTCAAACCCGTGTGCAATTTAATATGAAGCTCATTTTCCAAATAACCATCAACAAACCTTGAACAATTTGTCCAAAACCAACATCTTAATAAACACTACTTTGGCTCAAATGTCTTCAAATAATGGTAACCTCCTCAAAAGCTGATGATTTCTAAGAAGTTTTAAATCAAATCTGGGATAAATATATGTTTCAATATTCATTCCAGTTACATGACTAGTCAACTGAAAATTTTGTTATTCTGTTCCAAGACTGAATAATGCCTAACCAGGGTGTGACCTTTATTTTTTTTCAAATTCTCTGGATGTTGAAATTTATTATCATGAGCTTGATACTAGTAATCATTTTCAGAATAATCCTTTTAGTAAATATATTATTTAAAAACCCCAAAGATATCTTACAGCAGGAGCCAACAAACTGAGTTAATTAGTAGCAAGTGATTGTTCTGCCAGGGTACATATTTAGTGTTTGTTTGCCTAGCTCTGCCTTAAAATCACATGAAACTAATATGTCAGTCAATTAAGTAGTTATGTTATTATTTATTATTTTTATTACCTTTCCACGTTTACTTAAGGGCCTTAAGATTCTAAAACATACCTTGCTGTCATTTCCAGTGAATTATAATTAAAATGACAATTATGTTATTACTCCTAAAATGTACCAGTGCACCTCCCCTACATGTTAAAATTATGTTGTAACAAAAATTCAAAAGAAATAATGTTCTCATAGTTAAGAAATACACTTTTATTTCACTCCGTCCAATATTCCAGAAAGTCACTATTCTTCTCACATAGTTTTCATTTCTGATCCACATGGAGTAACCTAATTCAATTCAAGGTCCCATCTCATTATAGAAATTCTGAAATATTTATGGCATGGTTTTATAGACACTCATTTGAATTAATTTTGTTATTGGGATGTTGTCTGATAGGCAACTGCTGACACTGACTATGTTTCCGTTTGAATAAAAAAACCATTATTCCTGGAATATTTTGCACTAATAACAGATACTGTACTGTAGGCTTTCAGGTTGTGTTTTGAAACTTTAAAACATCCTATAATGTGTGACAAATTTAAGAAAATCTAAGGGCGATGGAAACAACATCCATCCCATTGTTCTTTAATGTAACAAGTTCTGCTATTTCGATCGACCGTAACCAAAATTTGTTTACATTGTGTCATGGCTTTCTCGCCTGTCTCATTTCAGCTTTATGGTGTACCAACTCAATGCCCAGTATTGACAAAACACGTTAAGCAAAAACAATTCTGTAGTTACAAGAATTTCCCGTGTTTATAACACTTGCAAAGTCTTCAACTGCTATTTGTTGTCATCTATTGGTAATGATTTTGCACATGTGCGAAAGTGTGTAAATTCATGCAAATTCTCACCCTCAAGCAGACCGTAGGTTTCGTGAGCGATGATACAGACATTTCATTGATCGTGAGGCCTATCGCGCTCCTTGATCCGCCTCAAATCTTTTGTCTTGGCCGTAATTGTCGTGTTAAAGGTACACATCAAATCGCAGCAATATGTAAGAGATATAGCGAGTGTGAATGGCATAATTCGAAGCACATCGCTTCCGAGGCATCGTTTGACCCGGAAATAAGTCTGACAAATCCACAAAGCGCGCCCGGCCTGCTGATTGGCCAAAATTGACGCATGCGCCAGTTTTGATTGACAGACTGGATCGGTCTATTAACGGATTGCCAGTGGAGAGTTAACCACGCCCCCAAAAGAAAGGGAGATAACTCTCAAAAGGTCCAACAACATAGCTGTCAAAACCAACTGTCAAAATGGCAGTCGTGATAACGTTTAGAGACATTCCCGATGATATTGGCCCGAAATATTTGCCTTATGAACCTCCTTTGCGGCAAAAACAACGTGGAGTGGCTTTTAGTTCGGCCTCATACCTTTATTCCGTTACTTTCCATTCATGTTGTGATAATATCATGTCAATTTGCGGGAGGATTTATAGAAGTCAACGGAAAACCGAAGCTCCTCATGTAATCAACTTGTCCCTTGACAGAATTCACAAATCGTTCACTGACGCCCATTGTAGCTGCAAATGTGGGTGAGTAGTACACGTAATAACTTCGGGTGCCTTTCCAATTTATGGCATAAATCTGTTGGGGTTTTATAAGCGGCATATATAGATATCAAATCAATTACACGTCTGTGTGCCGTCCGTTTCAGTTGTTGACAATGAAACCAATGTTATCCCATATAATTACGTTAAATTTCTATCATCGTGTAAGAAACAGATCTGTAATAAATGTAAGAGGTAAATGCAATATCTGTTATTAGGCATTGCGGGAATAAAACCATGTAAATGTATTTTCTTCTCAATTATATTATATACTGAGTCAAAAAAGAAACTTCACATTCTTTCTTCAGGGCACTATAAAAGAACACGAGATGGTAAGATGGTTAAATTGTTATTATTTCATTGCTGAGATCTGTGTGATGTACTCGATACACTGACAGTGCCATAATCAGTTCCATTAGGCTACACCGCCGTTCCAAAACATGGGAATACCGAATGTCAAGTCACAAGAATAAAAATGCGAAATTTCTCAGTTCAATATCGTGTATGGCCGCCCCGCGCATTCACCACTGCCAAACACCGTCTCCTCATCGACTGCCTGATGCTTGTGAACACGTGGTTGGGGATTCTGCGCCATTGCTCTTGCAAGGCAGCGCCAAGTTCCTGCAAATTCTGAGGTTGGTTCCTAAGACCACGAAGCCTTCTCCCAAGTGCATCCCAAAGCGTGCTCTATTGGATTAAGGTCAGGGGACCTCGATGGCCAGTCCATGACGTTGATTCCAGCGTTTTGAAGGAAATTTTGTGTCAACATCGCGGTATCGCGGCCCGAGCATTATCATGCTGGAACTGTAGACCTGGGCCATGAGCGCCATGAAAGGAACGAGTTCAGGGGTGAGCACCTGGTCGCGTAAGCAGCAGCTGTGAGGTTTCCGCGGATGACCAAAAGTCGGGAACGGTTGTTCCCACAGAAAGCACCCCACACCATGCAACTTCCACCCCGAATCTGTCGACTTCCTGTACACAACATTGGGCATACCGTTCCGGCGTCGTCTCCAGACTCTATGCCTGCCGTCCCGCGAATCTGAGGGTAAACCTGGATTCATCGCTAAAGGCGACTTCGATTCCAGTCTCTCTGGGTCCATTGGAGGTGGCGTTGGGCCCACAGCAGGCGTTGGCGTTGATGAAGCGGCGTCAATATTGGCCCACGATATGGGCGTCGAGAATGGAGATTGGCAGCCATAACCGATTTCAAATGGTCTGTGAGGACAGTCGACCTCTAAACATCTCAGCCCTGGTTCGTGTAGCCGGCAGAAATCTGTCACGTAGGTGGCGTAGGGACGATTTGACGGTCTTCTGCTCGTGGACGTCACACGTGGGCGACCGACCTTAGGCGATCAGAAGTGGTGCCAGTTTGTTGCAGACAACCTCACAAGTCATACACAGTACGACGACTGCATCCCATTGCTCTTGCGACGTCAATAACTGATCTTCCCGCTTGCAACATGCCAACGGCACGTTCACGTTGCACATTAGACAATCGTGGCATTTCAAGTACCGTTAGAACTGTGGTTTAAAAGTGTTTTTTCAATTCTTGAGGCCAATGCAAACACGTGCATATGAAGAAAACTTCGATGCGAAGATCACGTGATCGACTGCACGTGCAAAACCTGATTTGGCACTAACGTCGAATGGATGCACGACGAATAGATGGGTTTGAGTGGGTTTTGCTAACGTTTTTCTAGAGTCAAAAGAAAGGGATCCCATTTCGGATACATAGATGTATCATCAGAGAAAAATTATTCATTCTTTTTCAAATTACATTTTGTGAAGTTTCTTTTTTGACTCAGTATATATTCCTGCTGTCAATCACAGTTCTGTAACAAATTTATTCACATTATTCTCTTCAGTGCAAGTGGAAAGTGTTCCCATGTACTGGCACTTGTCCCGATACTGGAAGGCTGGAAGATATCAGGCTATCAAGCCATTCCTTCACAGCCCTCTTCAACTAGCCTGCCTCAGCAGTGGGATAAACCAAGGGGACCAAAGATTGAATCTGAAGCAGTGACACAGATAATTATTGCCAGGCCTGGAAATCTTAATAGGACAAGGAGACCTGTGATGGCCACATTCAATGACAACAGGTGATGTTATTATATACTTAAAGTTTTATTTCAGATTCTGAACTTGTTTTATGAAAATGATGTCTCATAATGCAAGCATTATCTATATGACATTTTTACTCCATGATCATCAGATATTTCCAAGGTAGAAAATACTCATCACAGTTTAGAAAGCAATATTAGATGACTATTGAGCAGTTGTTTGCATAAATATTACAGTTCAGTTAAGTGAACAAGGAACAAGAGCACGTACAAAATATTCATTCCCATTGCACGTTTTTAACATACACAAATACAATATTTGTGACTAATACTTTTTGTACTTGCAGGAAAGTTCAAATACAGGAGTCTGACATGTCTCTGCTGCACAGTATGAAGGGATTCCCTATTTCATACCTGACAGATACATGTACCAGCACCAGTCAGACAGTTCACACACCAATAGGTCCTCAGGTTGTTGGATCAACTCTTGGACATCAAGTAAGTAATCTTTATCTTGAGAATTAAATATGGCATAAAACAGCACACAAACCAAATTTGATTTACTGAGGAAAACAAACTTAAATGCAATTTTTTACCAACAGTTTTGAATTTTTTACCCTTCCAATGGCATTTTCAACCACCACTCTCTGTGTTGCAATTTTCACTGTTTCTGCCACATCAGACACATGCATCTGACCTTTACCTGGTGCAAAAGGGGGAATGTTGAGGTGTAATCCAGTGGCCCTTATTTTCTATGTTAAAGCCCTTGTCTGCCATCAAACCATCTCTTTAAGTTTCCCACACTTAACCATTTCTCTGAGGAGGGACAGATAACTACTTTTTTCAGTTAATTCTTTGTCTGATATCGCCCCAGAAAACAGCATTGATATGAATGTAATTGAACCTCTTGGATCCACACCAATGAGACCTTTCAGGGTAGTACTTGATTTGTAATCTGAGTATGTGTGACTTTGCCTTGTCAGTGAAGAGGGTCTGAATTTTTATTTCTGTTCCATCGATGATACTTAAAGTGTTTGGAAATTCCTGGCGAAATTTTGAAGGCATATGTTGCTGCAAACCATCACGGTGAGGCAAAATTGACACAGATCCAAACCTGTAATACAAGTAATTCATCCAATTTGAAAACGCAGTACTGCAATCTTGGGGTGATATCAGAAACAACTTTGAGAGATGTTTAAAATCAAAATTCTGTCTAAGTTTGATCAGAACAAGCAAAAACTGGTCTTCAAGACCCATACACTTCAAACTGCTAACTGTTCTGGTAAATTGAAAAGGTTCATCTTCAGCATTGCCAGGGACAACAAATTTATATCTTTTCTGAAACTGTTCATAGGGAAATCCTGTGTAATACTTGTAATCGTTTTTCTCTATATTTTTACAAAAAGAATACACATCATGCTTAACATTTTTAGCACTAATTTTGGTGTTGATCTGCTGGGCACACATGAGCTCCTCCTTTTCTAGGATCAGTTTGGCCATATCTTCTTTAAGTTGCTTGTTCTCTGTAGAGCCAGCATATCCAGTGGCAGAGGACCTGGCAATTACAACTGTTTCAAGCAATAATACATTCTACAGAGAAGAAATGATCTGGCTAGTTTAGGGCACCAAACTCATTATTAGGCCTGAAACAGACTTACCTATTATCAATCTGACTTCTTGTAATGTTTAAAAAATGCTTTGCACACAAAAAAATAAGTTAAGAATGAACACATAGCACCCACAACATACTTGTTTCAATTTGAGATTTAAGCAATAAAAACAGCCTTATTACCTCTGTAACATATTACACTGTATAAAACTAAGTGTGAATAAACAGACTTCTTCTCTTTACAGGCACCCCTAATCAGACCAATAGTGGTTCCAAAGATGGAGGACAGGTGCGGAGATGTCACATTTCCCAAAGATGACAACTTACCCGAACTGGATTCATTTGCAACTTTAAAACATTAGTGGAAAGATTTAGAACTTTCAGTTGACGAGTCCCAGAATTTAGAAAAAAATACAAGATCTCAAAGCAAGTCTGATTTGTGGTACAAATCGAGGAAAGGGCGAATTACTGCTTCAAACTTTGGTCTGCTTATGACTCGCAAAAAACAAATCAATGACACATTTATCAGAAACACCTTTGACAAAAAGAAAATTTCCTCCAATCCAACAACTTATGGGAATTCTAATGAGAAAATAGCTAAACAAATGTACATGAAAAAAACTCAAAATCATCTTCATGACATTGGCTTTGTTGTAAACCCATCTATTCCATTTATAGGAGCCACCCCTGATGCTATAGTGTGTGACACTTCTGTTTCTTGTATTGTGGAAATTAAGTGTCCTTATGCTGTAAGGGACTTTACCATTAATGAAGCCTCCCGTATGACTGGTTTCTTTTTGAAAAAAGAAGGAAAATATTACAACTTGAAGAGAGGTGATAGGCATTGGTATCAGGTACAGGGCCAACTACTTGTAACTGGGGCACCATTTTGTGACTTTGTAACCTACACCAGACAAGACTTTAACATTGAACAGATATATCCAGATAGGAATACCTTGAGGACTATGCTTGAAACTCTGTCACAAACATTTGTCAATCACTTCAAACCATACTTTGCAAGGAAACAAACGTCATAAAAAATTACCCATGGTGTCACTTTGTTGGACAAGAATATCAGATTCCTGCTGCATGGTTGTAGGCTCTGGATGTTCCATATCCATATGATTTGGTGTATCAGAAATACCAGTACCATGATTACATCTGAAAAAGAAGATGAAGACCAAATTATCTTATACCTGAACTTTAAATGTATTTCAGCCTTTAAATGGTTACCATCTTTGTTGATTTCCTATAACTTCTTGATTACCTATCAGGACTATTTATGCCTGGATTAACTTTTCTAATATATGTGTTTATTGCTATTACAATTCAGCGATAAATAACTTTTGGCTTCACTTGTTAAGTGCCCACAGTTGACATCATATGACTGTTGTTGTTTCACATGTAAATTTTTAAACTTATCCTATCTCACGGTATGCACCATCTCTCTCTTCTACGACCATGTGGGAAACGTGCTGTCAGGTAAGTTGAGTCAAATCTACCTGGCCTCTGACCCGCCCTGACCTCTGCCCTCACCCCGACATCAATGCTTGTCAATCATCCACCAGAGCGCTCGCCCAAATGATCACATGACCACCTCTACCTGTCATTCTCTTTCTTGTCGCCACGTTGTGTGGACGTGTGTTTGTCTATAAGAGAGTTTGATTGTGTTTCTACAATGGGAAAATCGAGTCGTTATGGTTCTAATAAACGCAAACATTGTGATAACTGCAACAGTAATTTCTCGGCCGCAGACCCACATAACCTATGTGTTGACTGTTTAGGCCGGTGTGAATGGTCTAGACGTTGCACTTTGTGTGCAAACCTTGACGACGATGTGTTTTCCGAATATCGCCGGGTAGCTTGTAGACGCAAGTTTGACAGAGATTGTCGGAATCCATCTGAGGGTCTGAGGGTCTGAGTAGTAAACGTCCTAAGTTAGATCGCCGTTTGATATCTGCAGTATGACGTTCGAAGTCGAAGTCTCCTAATGAAGATTTCTTAGAGAGGCGTCTGATTCCTACCTCAGTGAAAATCTGCGTCAACTCTTCTGTCCGCATTCTTATAGCCTCATTACTCTAGAAGATTCTTCTGCACCATGAGTTGTTGTATTATCTACGTCTGGTATTCATCCCGGCCGTCTTTGGTGGTGAATGTTCCTCAGCGCCTTTACGTGTCGGAGATGGGGACTACTCATGCGGCGCCTATTGTGATTCCTAACATTACATCACAAGTGACGTTTACTTCCAGTTCGACGCTTACATCAGGAGTTACCTACCTTTAGAGCGCCGTTTGTCACTGATTCCACGTGTTTGCTCAGAGTGCTGCTTACTTCCAGTTCGGCGATTTTCTACCAGTGCGCCGATTACTTTTGACGCGACGCTTACATCAGGACAGGTATCTACGATCAGAGCGCTGATTGTCATGGATCCAATATGTTTGGTCAGATCGCCGTTTACTTCCAGTTCGGCGCTCTTGTTTGGTTCCGGTTCGACGCTTACTCCCGGTTCAGCGCTTCCTCCCAGTGTTCCTTGTTCGGCGCTTCTCCCAGTGTTCCTGGTTCGGCGCTTCTCCCAGTGTTCCTGGTTTGGCGCTTACTCCCGGCTTGGCGCTTCCTCCCAGTGTTCCTGGTTCAGGGCTTCCTCCCAGTGTTACTGGCTTGGGGTTTCCTCCTGGACTCCCGGTTCGGCGCTTACTCATATTGACTTTGGTTCGGCGCTTGCTCCCGGTGTTCCCGGTTCGGTGCTTCATCACTGTGCTTTTAGTTCAGCGTTCGCTCACAGTCTTCCTGGTTCAGCGCTTACCTACAGTATTACCGGTTCAACGCTTACTCCTGGGATTCCTGCTTCGACGCTCACTCATGGTGCTCCAGGCTCAGCGCTTACTCATGGTGTTCCCGGTTCGGTGCTGCCTCATAGTTCGCTGGCTTCTGTATTGACTCATGGTACAACGCTTCCTCAGGTTTCAGCGCTAACTGCCAGGTGTTGACTTCGGCGCTGGGTCCACTCAGATCAGCTCATGGATTCAATGCACTGGATCTTACGTCAAGGCTTTCTGTTTAGTTCCCAACAACGTGACATTATCATCCACTGGAAGGGGGACTTAATCTTCCTCAAGTTACCAAAATCCAGAGACGTTGCCAATTGAGTGATACACGGTCGAGGTGGGAACGTGATGGAACCAAAATTACCTGGCTTCATATCAAAATGGATAATAAATCTCCCAACGAAGTACTACGCTGTATACGGAGGTTATCGGCAATCCTGACGAGTAGTTAAGGTGTGTCAACAACATCCATGCTACCATCCGATTAGGACGTACCATCCTAAGATAGAGACGATGTCATTGAACGATGAACCTGCTCTAAAGGTAGAGCTGGAGTAGTCGCAGGTCTTGATGACTGATTAACAGAGGAGGATACTGGCGCCTCATGCCGTACGCTGAGGCTACTGCTAACACAAGGCATCAAAGTCAACAAGTGGCAGGGCTTGGTCTATCATGGATCGCGCCTGTCGCATCAAGGTTCTGGAGTTCAGGGGCGGTGATTTTGGCAATCAGTCACTGGAACGATGACCTATGAGCAACTTCCCTCATGGTCAGATCGGACAACGCAGCAGTGGTTTGGCATATCAACAGAATGGGGTCAACGGGGTCTCCACAGCTTCTACAGTGGACTCAACAGTTCTTGGATCTGGTGGACTTTCTCAACATCATGGTACGAGCCAACCACTTTCCGGGGGTGAAGAATGTCATCGTAGATGCCCTGTCCCGACTGAGTCGTCCTTCTCCAACGGAATGGAAATTACATCCTCAGGTGTTTCAAACCTTCTGCCTTCCAATGACTTCTCCGACAGTAGACCTCTTCGCCACGAGGTTCAAGTATCAGCTGCTTTGGTTTGTGTCACCAATATCAGACTTTTGGCTTGGGACCTCGAGGCTCTAGCCATCCCGTGGGAAGACCTGAATGCTTACGCGTTTCCGCCAGTGGCCCTTTTTCCTCGCATTCTAGGGAACTGTGAGCAACACGGAGGTTGACTCTACTATGGTCGCGCCCTACTGACCGGCCAGAAGTTGGTTCGTAAATCTTCAAGACCTAGCCTAACCAGATCCCGTACCGCTTCCCGATCGACCCGATCTACTGGTTCATCCGCACTCCCACCAACTACATTGGTCCCTGTTGACGCTACATCTGCATTTGGCGCATCTACATCAATCCTTAACGGCTAAAGGTTATTTGAAGCGGGTTGCTACTGCCATTACAACAGCGCATCATACTTCTACAAGGTCACTCTACGAGGACAAGTGGGAAAGTTTTAAGCATACTGCAGGAAGAAGGGCATCTCATCCCCCACTACGGCATTCCCGCAGATGGTGGCAGATTATCTTCAGCATCTCTGAGCCTCCAGGGAACTCAGAGGTTCTACACTGTCTACCTACCTGGCTGCTCTTAACATGGTTATTGCAACGGCCTTGGGTGTGAAGATTTCCACTGTCCATGAACTCCAGTCTCTCCTAGGTCTTTCAAATTGGCTGACCAATCCTGGAAGTTCCGGATCCAGCTTCGGATATCTCCGTTGTACTTGCTCATCTCGCGTCAGCTGAATATGAACCTCTGGAGGAGAAGATTTCGAACATGTCTCATTTAATATCTTTTCTCTTGGCCTTGGCTGCAGCTGCCCATATATCTGAGTTGCATGCTCTTGATGTTTCTCGGGTATGGTTTGGAAGGTCTAGACATGCGAGAGTTGTCCTTGGTTTGTGGTGGGATTTCCTTGCCAAAAATCAGGTACCAGGACAGCCGGATCGCAAATCACGATCCCACCATTGTCTACTATCTTGGGCCCAGAAGACACTGAAGATCTTTCCTTATGCCCAGTTCGAGCATTGAGGATTTATCTAGCTGCCTCGCAGGATCGTCGAAGACTACATAAGAGACTGTTTATCCCTATATCTACTGCCTCCACCCGGAAGTCTCCCGTACTACCTTTTTGGATGAAAACTACAATCCTGCGTGCCTACACCTTTGCTGACCTACCTCCACCAGCAACGGCCAAGCCTCATGAGACCCGAGCTCTTGCGTCATCCATGTCGAGAAGACTATGAGGCAAGTCCTGTACTACATGCAGAGATGGTCGACATTCCACTTACTGACCTCTACTCTTCAGTGAAGTGTTGATTCAGATTACCTGTGTGGTTTTCGAAGCGTTCTGCTCCTAAGTCCTTTCTCACCTTTGGTAAGTTAGGGAGATTGGTACTGAACGTTAAACTAGTTGAGCAACCGGGCTATTCCCTCTTTCACCGCCTTCCAGCGTGTGTCTGTGGGGGGTAGTTTCGAAGCAGGGACTGGCCAGATTAAGGTCCTCGACTTTAATTCACTGGGGTCACCTGATAAATCGCGGGGCGGCGGGGTCTACTTCCCAAACTGCGTCCTTTTGCTTGTCAAAAGTTGTGGCTGAAAACCACATTAATTCGGGAGCGCCCACTCCCTAGAGTTTTTGTGCTGTGTAAGCCAAGGGGTTACCTGAAGAAACCCATCTCAAGTTTGGAGTTTGCATATCGGGAGTTGGTGCTTTCTCCTGGCCTCCTTGGGTTATGCGTTTTTCCTGGTGGTAGTAGTAACGGGGTAATCTGCGACCCGCCTACCAACCGTGGGATTATGCATACCGTGAGATAGGATAAGTTTAAAAATTTGTAAATTTGATAATAAATTGTATATTTATATACTTATCCTATCTCACGCGATAGAACCCACCGGACCTGCCCCACATCACAGATTACTGGAAATGACAAGTATGAATGGACTAGTTGTATGTGGATATTACCATCTGATTCATACATTATCTCTATATTTGAGAAGTCATCTTTTCTGTATGAAATATTAGCAATCTCTGGATAGGGGATTAATGGCTGTGTCTGGCCATGCCATATAAAAAAACATCTATAAATATGTAAATTAATGTTGTATTTAAACATATTTATAAAAGAACCACTGTCGTGGCTGATTTCAGTGGTTACAGCAAATGTCCATGTAAATTAATGTTGTATTTAAACATATTTAAAAGAACCACTGTCGTGGCTGATCTCAGTGGTTACAGCAAATGTCAGTGTTGATGAAATATTCATGATGGATTGTGATCAATAGTTTGAATCCTTCAGAGTTATTGTGTATTATCACTCAATGTTATGGGACCTGCGTGAAACAGTTTTGTCTGGAGCAATTAGATTTTTATGTCAATATGCACCTGCGATATCAGTCCCTTCATCATGCTTATATGAATAGAACTTGAGTATGATTGTGATCTTGTGATGCATGTGATACTTCTGTCTTTTCGTAACTACAAAGGATCAAAATGTGTGACATTACCTTTACTAACTTTCTGTGATACTCTCAGAATAAACAAGGATTTGTTTGATTTTTATGTTTCAATGGTTTCTTCGTGTTTTGTGAGCAGTAAGTATAAAGGCAACAATGTTTTACCTGTGTGTTTCAAGAATAACTTTCCTCTTTCTGTCACCCATAAATGTCAAGCGTGGTTTGGGTCGTGGTCTTACTGTCTTTGGATTTTCATTTTGTTCATGTGCAGACGCAGGGTCCGGAAATGTCTTGGAGGGTTTTCCATCAACAAAGTGCTGTAAATAAGCTCGCATTTATTAGTCGATAGAAACGACGAAAAACAACATGGATGTATCTGAAATCGTATGCTCAAACACAGACATCGTCTGTCCTTGACATACCACGCGGTGAAATATCAATAATTAAATCAGTGAAAATCGGTGTAAGCTGGTTATATAACAACTAAAAGGCATTGAAAGTCTACCAAGTCAAAGATTTCTAACTTTACATTAACTTCAACATTGGTTAAGATGTTATTAAATTTTAGTTTCCATACCTTTGTACATACGAAGAAATGTTTTCCTCGGCTGTGGTCACGAAGTATGTCCATGTTCAGTTGATACTTGGGGCGACCACACAAATGTATCCATCGTTGACATTTGTCAAAATTTCTGGCAGGCGTGGGAAATGGAATAAAGGTGATACCACCAGCAAGTCATTCCGGGTACAGCGTGTCTGAGTTGTAGGTACCCCAGCTACACCTTTTCACCATGATCAAAAAGTTGACTGTAAACGTCGATTTATTTTTGAAAAGTCCGCCAGACCGCTGATGTCAGACAAAATGGTGGTCAGCTGTCAGCTGACAGCAGCGCGATACGGATTGAATAATTTGACGTTTCTCATTGGTCAGGTCATTTGTTTGATTGACAGGTGGCGATACATTAATTAGAGCTATCAACCTCAAGTTTAGTTCATATGAATAAACTCGTATTCCAGCCAAGGCCTACATCGTCGAGCACACCTTGGTATAGTGCAAAGTCGTCTAGTTATATGCTGCACTACCTCAAGCTGTGTTTCCTTGTTAATCAAGGATTTGACATTAACTTGTTTTCGTAATTACTCCCATAAATTTACATCCATGCACTTGGTGTTTTTAGCTGTAGTGTTGCCATTCATATTTAGATGAAATGTTGTGCATTTCTCCTGTAATATCATTCTCAGCTATTATTTGAATGTACCCATTAAAAAATCAGTTATGTTGCATTATACCAACAATGAATACAAGCTTTTTGTAGTCTAGTCATTTTTTTTACCATGTTCATGTTCTTCAAGTATTTTCTATGTATTTACAGCTGAAAGGGCTTTGGACACGATGAACTTTGATACTATCAAGGTAGACCAATCAGAATAATGTCTCGAAGTGACCCTTCCTTGAGAAAGTCTGGTGTGGGCAATGTGTTCATCAAGGATTTGGACAAGAGCCTTGACAACAAGGCTCTATACGATACTTTCTCAGCTTTTGGGAACATCCTGTCTTGTAAGGTATGTTAGACAAGATTATGTTGATCTTGACATTGGATTTTTGGGTAGTGGCAATTGACAAGGAATTGAATTGAATATAATTTTTGGTAGATTATTGGTATTTTGGTAGACAGTTGTGAAAGATACACTGGTGTATTGAGTTTTAATGAAATAAGTTTTTCCTCTATTATACAAGGTGATATGCTTAGTGTGCTTATTGTTTGTGGACTTAATGCAAAATGAATTATAATCAGTGTTTTGAATTTACTACAAGAAATAGCCATTATGTACATGCTTCTACTGCTATCTTTTTCGGTAAGAGCTCCTCCCGTTCCCCCATCCCAAATAAATATTTATATTTATGAAAATATGAAATTATTAACAAAACTTAACATAACAATTACTGGAGAACTCATAAAGTGACTAAAAAGTTAGGGTTAGGTTTAGAGTAAGGTTTAGGGTTGGGTGAACGGAAGGAACTCTTTCTCCTTTTTCTTCGAGATATGACATGACTGTCTATATCGCATTGTCCTAGCGGGTCCTTTGTCATAATATTTTTATATAGTGGCCTTGGTGTATTGTTTCACACCTGATGCACACAACTAATCTACATTTGATTTCGATCGGTGCAAGCCTGACTTAACCACTAGCCCAAGGCTATTGTCAAGTTTATTTTGTGTAGTAAGCTCAATTGTAAGTCTAAAAAGTACAATTATCTGATTTCCAACAATTCTTTATAGTCATTAATACTGACATTCCTTTAGTCTGTAGATTTTAAGTAAGGGCCCCAAATTTTGCTTTTGCAGATAGCTTCCGATGAAAATGGCTCCAAGGGTTATGGCTTTGTCTATTTTGAGACTGAAGAAGCAGCCAGACAGGCCATTGAGAAATTTAATGGCATGTTGCTCAATGGCAAGAAAGTGTAAGTTTGTCTTAAACATAAACTGTCTTAACACAGGAAAATGTGTCATGGCCGGCTTTTGTTGCAAAAGTTTCATGAAATAGTGAGGTGAATGCAATCCTCTTTATGGATAGTACTTGCAACATTGGACATCTCTAGGGACAACCATCCTTGAGAAATGCTTATGCAGGTTAATCTGGTTGTATTTTCCACTCAGTGTCAAATTATCGAATGGCTTGTTAGACAAGGTCACCCAGTCCTATGGTTTTCTGTTTAAAGGAATGTTCCGTTTTTAGGTATTTTTGGCCATTATCAAATCCTTGGTGTACCTTGACAGTCTGTTACATTTTTCCTTATCCTGACTCATGCTTAATTGCTTGTCTTCTTCTTCTTGCGAACTATAGTGGAACACTTGAATCCTCTTTCCAAGCTCCCTTATAAAAAGTGGATGTAAAATCACTCACCCCAGTAGTCTCCCTTTCCCCCCATCTTTTGGCGCGAAAAGTTGGTCACATGATCAGACATGCTTGTCACTCTCTCCTTCCTCGCCCTAGTGGACGGTTGTGAGAGCGCCTGGGTCCCCTATACGGCTTTTATACTAAATTAGGCTGTATAAGGGCTTTAGCAAGGATTTACCAGCAATATGGTTTGCAATTTATTCTAAATTTGTCTGTTTTTCACGTTGTTGACAACATGTTTACATTTCATGAAGACTTGCATTTCTTGCAGGTTTCGGTTGTCAGCTGCTGATCCGCATTCTTTATGTCCTAACTGCACTTCTGTATGTTCTTCCAGCCTCCGCTGTAAACTTTGTCAGCATTTATCTCAAATTGAATTTTGTAATTATTTATATTCTATTCATAGACGTGCCAAGGACAAGTTGAGGCGGCAATTACAAGTCATGTCTCAACAGGGTGAATGCGTTAATAACCGTGGGTTGTTGTCTGTCGAGGTACATCATTCCAGTGAGCTGCCGGTGGCGTCTTCAGAGCAGAGGAATGAGGTTTCCGGCCTTAGGGAAAGATCTTTATCGACTCAACAATCCTCGTCGCAGTCCAAGAAGACTAGGACGTCGTCTGCTGTGAAGACTAAGCCGTCTTCAGACAAGTCTACAGTCAAGTCGTCAGTGGGGGCAGCGAAGAAGTCGAGGTCCTTCGCCGCTGATATCAACCAATCGGACGAAGCAGACGTTTACGATGAGCAGCCGATCCTCATCCATGAAGTACCGGTGAGGAAGAAGACGAGATCTTCTTTTGCACTGACGTCTGCAACTATATCAACGTAATCAGACGTCCTATCTACGCAGACTGCAGATACCAGAGAGGACAGGCAGTCCTTAGATGACACCTCAGCACTGTCAGATGCGGCGTCATCTGTACAACAGCACACGTTATCAGCGCAGACCTTCAACCCGGGCATCTTTATGCAGAACTTAATTATTTTTCCTTATGGCTAATGGATTGGAGCTGACTCATGCTCTTTTGCTTGTCTTCTTCTTCTTGCAAGAACATAGTGGAAACACTTGTATCTCCTTCCTTATTGAAGCTCCTTCAATGTAAAATCACTAATCAGTACTCACCACGAGTTGCTCCCCTTTGATCCCTTTTGGCGGGAAAGGTGTAAGCCACCCTCTACCTCGTGCTTCACTCTCTCCTTCTTAGCCCAGTGAGCAGGATGTGAGGCGCCTGTGTCTCCTTACACAACATATCCTTTGATTTTTCTTAGTTTTTACCTCCTATAGTGTACTATAGAGGTATAGCTAGTATCCTTCAGCAATTTGTATTGATTATTTATCGTATTTCTACTGTTTATTCCGTGTATTCGTGATTGTTCAGCTAGTATTACGTTGATGAAAATCTGTACTATTTGTAGATTACGTTTTCTGCCTCAGATCCATGTAATATGCCCTAGTTGTTCTCGCCGTGTGCGTTTGATTCACGTTGCAGTTATTGCATTAATTTATCTAATTCTGCATTTAATAAATACTATCTTTGCGTCTTAAGGCGTGCTGCAGATAGAGTCCGCGCAAACAAGGGCTAAATATGGCTGATACTCCAGATACTCCATCTAGTCAGCTGCTGGCGATCGACCCCCTACCGTCTGGTGTTCTGCTAGAGACCCCATCGGAAGAGGGGCGTGGGGCGCAGTCCGTCACCTCTAAGAAGCGTCCGGCCTCCCCAGACATCCGTCATCGCAGATAAAGTCAAAGAGGGCCTCGGCGTCTTCTCAGCGCAGACCGTACCCCAGGGCAGCGTCGACATCAAAGGGAAGTCACGAAGACAGCGAGAACTTTCTCAGCGAGATCGTTCCAGCCGAAGAAAGGGGCCTCTCGATGACCAGCCGATTATCATCCCGACATACGGCACAAGAAGCGGCCCGGTGTCAGCGACAGTGACTTCAGCAGAGATCTTCATGCAGCCTGATGCCTCTACACCGATGTCAGGCGTTATTGCTGTGGACCCCATCATTAACACCGCAGAGAAGGCGCAGACAACATCGTCGCGCAGACCATCCCTGATGACCTGATGCAGCAAATTATGGCGATGATGGAAGACCGATATAGACTGCAGAAGCAAGGACCGAGCCAGCCAGCGAAGGCTCCAAGCGTGAACAGCACCCCAGAGGCACCCCCGTCAGCGTAGCAGCCAAGGCGATGTCACCTTCAGCGAAGGAAGGCCGCGGACCACCTCCACGAAGGACCTAGATGTACAGCCCAGCGAAGGCCTCAGCGGCGGGATAGATCTTCACCCTCGTCATCTTCATCCCAAGATGTGGACTCGGACCATCAGACATCACGAAAGCCAGCGAAGGTCTTATCGTAAATCCCCGGACGGACGCAGAGGAAGCTTGGCGAAGGCATTAGCGAAGGCCAGCTGAATCAGATCTTCATCATCTAGAAGGACATCGAGGGACTACACAAGAGCTTCAGTGAAGCTATCAGCGTTCTCCTCACAGGTCACCGAGAAGATCAACCCATAGGCGTAGATCACCTAGGCGATCGCCTCTTCGTTCATCACCGCGTAGATCACCTTACAGATCACCATACAGAGCTGCACAAGCATCGCCGGACGTAGAGACAGAAACGCGCGAGTCCAGAACAGCACCAACCTCTCATCAATGATGATGGTATAGAGGATGATGGAGGAGTTATTTTCTCCGATGCTGAGATACGGTATTGGATGGTCAATAACCTAGATCTCTCATCACCATCTAAAAATGGCAATGTGAAGCAGACATATCTGATGAAAGAAGGCGATGCAGATGCTATCACACTACCACCCGATCGACCCGATTGCAGCAGTTCCACAGAATCTAGATGCAGCATTCCACAAAGCCACGAAAGTTCAGACACCACATCTACCAAACTTTCATGCCAAGAAGTTCTCCCGCATAACATGGACCCCTTCTTCAAAGCTCAGGACATCGATGAGAACTATAAGTTGATCAGCGATGTCAAAGTACAAAATTACAAGATTGATGATGCCAAGTTAGTCCAGATAGAAACCATGGCCGAGGGCGTATATGTTTTGGTTTAAATAGATCTAGAGCGATCAATGAGACTCTTATCACCAGATTTTCGTGATCACGACTTCTGAGGATGATAGAATGATTTATTCTGCCTTACTTATGCAAAGAAAGACCAGCAGTTCCTAACAGATCATCTTACATCTATTTCAGCAGCACTGACCTTAGCTCGTCGTCAAGGCCTCCTCGCTTCCTGTAACTGGGGTGAGAACTTTACAGCCCCACTGTATACAGCCCGTGGTCTTCAACATCCATCTTTAATGGAGAAATAGACAAAGTTTCCAAGGAAGTCACTAAGGATTCCAGAGAAGTCCTGATGATTAAATCGATGGACACACTAGCCAGTGTCATCCGACAGACCTCTCAAAGATACTCAGGAAGATCTAAATTCACGGGCCTACAGAGAGCACGAGACAGGAAGATAGCCAGCTCTAGAGGAAAAGATTCTTTTAAAGTAAGCCCATTCGGCAACTATAGAGGAGGTTCAGGAAGAGGCAGGACACCCAGAGGTTCCCGCAACTATAAACGCTGAAAGACAGGTTCGGAACGACTGGAGTCTTCCACCCCCAGCCGTTCCAGTACAACCATCTCAAGTGGGTGGACGCCTCCAACTTTACTGGGAAAACTGGGGAATATTACAAGACCCTTATGTCTCCAACATTCTTCGTCACGGATTTCGTATCCCACTAAAGGCCAAGCCTCCGCTGACAGTCAACCCTCACAAGTTCGACGTACAGGCACAACAACTACCGAAGTTAAGAGAGGCTGTTACATCACTCTTAATAAAGCAGGCCATAGAAGTACTAGACCAAGACAACATAGAACCAGGTTTCTACTCCCCAGTTTTCCTAGTTCCCAAGAAAAACTCCAAGGAGAAATACAGACTCATCTACAACATGAGCTTTTTCAACAAGAACTATCTCGCCAAACCACGAAGTTCCGCATGATACATTTACCTCAGTTCACGGCAGTTGATTAAGCCCCATGGACTACATGGGCAGTATCGATCTACAGGGCGCTTACCTGCACATCCCGATACCGCGCCAAAGCCAGGAAATACCTACGGTTTACCTTAGGCGGGCAACATTACCAGTGGAAAGTGCTCCCCATTGAATATCATCAGCCCCTGGCTTTTCCGCGAGGATAGCGAAACCGATTATCACCTATCTTCATCATCAAGGGCTACGCAGTGCGTTTTACCTCGACGACGGGATACAAGTAGATCAAGATCCACAGCATCTCAAACTACAGTTAAATTACATCATAAAGCTACTAACACAGCTAGGATGGTTAGTAAACTTACTCAAGTCGGACCTAGTACCGTCACAAGACCTACAGTTCCTAGGCATTTGATTTATCACAAATCTCAACCGTATCGTCGTACCAGAAGACCGTTGGATCAAGATCCAACAGACCATTCCACCAGCTCACGGCTCTCCGTTACCCGCCGACAATGGCAGAGCCTCCTAGGTCTCCTCACATCAGCCCAAGACATG